GTGTGTGTGTGTGTGTGTGTGTGTGTGTGTGTGTGTGTGTGTGTGTGTGTGTGTGTACTGGGAGTTCGATTGACCACAGAGCCCAGAAGAGAGTGTCTGAACCCCTAAGGCTAAGGCTGCCATTACCAGCAGCTATAGGCTTCCTGATGTGGGCGCTGAGGACTGTGATCATGTCATTCACCAGAGCGGCACTTGCCCAAAACTGCTGCACCATCTCCATCCCCTGGGACACAGGTTGCCACTACCTGCCATCAGCCTCAGCCAACAATTTAGATACCACGAGTAAAGCTGTAACCAGGTCCCAACCCCAACATATCACTGTGGAATTAAGAGTTGAGACAGGAGCTGGAGAGATGGCTCCGTGGTCAAGAGCACTGGCTGTTCTTCCAGAGGACCTGGGTTCAATCCCCAGCACCTACATGACTGCTTACAACTGTCTGTAACCCTAGTTCCAGGGGATCTGACTCCCTGGAGCCCACACACATGGTGTACAGCCCTAAATGCAAGCAAAACACTCATACACTGAAAAATATATACATACATGCATGCATTTATTTTTTAATGACTTGAGACAGCCAGATGTGGAGGCACATGCCTTTAATCCCAGCATTCTGGAGGCACAGGCAGGCAGATCTCTGTGAGTCTGAGAACAGCCTGGCCTACTTAGTGAATTCCAGGACAGCCAGAGCTACCTAGAAAAACCACAACTCAAATAAGCAAAAAAAAGAAAACACTGGACTTTTACTCTTAAGAAATGCTTCTACACAAAGCTCATAACAAGGAAAGAAACCCCAAACTATAAACAAAGCTAGCACATAAAACCTATCTCTGGGCCGCAGTGCGCTAGTGGGAGTCCTCACCCGCGCCTCTCCCAGCAAGGACAGGAATCAATCAGCGTGAGGAGACATTTCCACCCCAGGGTCCGTTTCCTTCAGAAGCTGCCAAGTGTCAGGCAAACTTTCCAAACTGAATTTCCTCTGCAGAGATGCCTCGGAGTGGGCTTCATGAGTACCACGGAGCAAGGCGGGCTGGTAGGTGTGACCATGGATGACTGAAAATGAGTCACCTCACTTCATGTCACAGAGCCTTTCTGAGCCTGCACTGAAGCAGTGGTTTCCCAAGAATTCAAAGCAGTCCATCGGAAATGAGCTAAGAAAACAAAAACCCAGAATTCAAAATGGACTGCACATCTCCCAGTAGGAGCAGCCACTGAATGGAGGATTGCAAGCGCTATGCACACAAATACATGTCTGTCTGTGGGCCATATTCAGGTTGAAAGTCACCGCACTGCAGATACTGTTGAGAAAGGTAAGGAAAGTCTGCCGTCCGTTACAGAGTCAGAAGGCAGGAGGACGCACAGGCGTGTCCTCCCTATGCAACGCTGAGGTTCTTTCTCATCTTCGACGTTCACACTCCAGAACCAGATGGCTCGGTGGGTATGGGAGCTTGCTGCCACACCTGTCAGGCTCTGCGCTCCACACATGCCGGAACACGAGGGCATCTACACACTGGCATAAGTAGTTTTTAATGTAATTGAGTTACTAACAAAAAGCCACAAGAACCCCTCAATGTTTTAAGCTCATGCTTTCATGTGGGCCACATTCCGAGATTTCATGGTCATCTGCAGCCCGTGGACCAGGTTTACCCACCTGGCCTAACTGCCGAGTGCTGGGGGAATGTTTCCTCCCTCCTGCTGTATCCTGCCCAGACAACAGAGACGTGCTGTCAGAGCCTGAATGTGGCTTCCCCAAGTCCCTATGTGGATGCCCACATGCCAACACCATATTTCAAGAAATGGCTTTTCAGGGGAAGTTGGGTTAATTGGGCATAAGGTGGGCTACGGACCTAACAGGATTGGTGTCATATCATGAGCCACCAGGAATGTTTGTCCACCAAGGAAAGGCCACGGCAGAATACGCCATGAAGGTGGTCATCTGCAAGCCACAGAGAAAGGCCATATTGGAAATACACTGGGTTGTGCAGCCTCCGGGATGGAAGGAAAACAAAATCGTGTTGTTTAAGCCCTAGTCAAGTCCATGAGAGTTTGTTACAGCAGCCGTATAGACTAAACCAAAAACTGCGGACTGACAAGAGCGACTGGCAGAGTTACACTGCCCTACCAAAGCCTCTCCTTCTGCAGAAAAAGACTTTTTCTTCCAAGAAAGTTGAGAGTCTGATGTGGAGCTCAGACTTGGATCATTAGAAACCCAAACAAACGAGTGATGACTCAGGAATAACCAAGACCACGTGGGAACCAGCAGATGCTGGCTGCAGCTGTTTTTGAATACTTGGCATACATCATTCAGATAGGCATGCTGTGTCTTTAAATTCACCCCATAAAAACGACACAAGGTGGGCATTATCACCATTTTCTAGCACAAAGAAAATAGTGAAGAAAAAAGCCAATGCCGTGGACATGTGTGTGATGCTGGCCTCCGCCCCTGTGACATCACGGCAGATGGAAACCCGGAGCCACCGTTCCTGCTGGCTTTCCTTTGGGAGTACCGTCATGAAATAAAACAAGGGTCTCATTGTCCACACTTCCAGCTTCTGCACGGACACAGCCATAAATAACTGGGTCTATGCTTTGGCTTTTAAAAAAGTAACTGTTTCTCTCTACAATAAACACGCGACT